CACACACACACACACACACACACACACACACACACACACACGCACGCACACACACACACACACACATGCACACACACACACACACACAAAGAAGCTTGAATGGCGACGGGGAGGAGGGAAAATGAAACAGTTCACTTCCCTCGGAGCGGCGAATGGGTGCGGGCGCGGGAGGCCGCGGGTGGGGGAGCGGGACGATGAGGAGAAAGGTAGTGGGTACACTGGGAGCACGGGTTGAAAGTGAGGAAGGAAGACACAGAAAGACTCACCTGAGGGAGCCAGTCGACGCAGGCGTCCAATTCGACGGAGCCTCCAACGAAGAATGACAAAGCCTCAAGCTGAGTAGCGCACCAATGCACGTCGGTGTTCTTGAAGTGCGAAGCACCAAGTTAGTTCATGAAGCACGTAAGGAGAGAGAGGGAGAGGGGCACCAAGTTAATTCATGGTTGCACTCAAAGCACGTAGCACGAAGCATCAAGTTCACCTAGCAAGACGCACGAAGCACCGAGTTCACGTGGCACGTAGCCCGTAAAAAGGACGTAGGGCCAAAGAGCTTAGAACCGAGAGAGAAAAAGAATAGTAAAAAAAAAAAAAAAAAAAAAAAAAGAGTTGGACAAATTCGAAGCTCCTATCTGCTAGAATCTTGCACACGTAGCACGTAGCTCCACGCACGAATCACGAAGGACCAAGTGCGAGGCACCAAAGCCCGATAGCACGTAGCACCAAAGCCCGATAGCACGTAGCAGCGGTTCACGAGAGAGACAGAGAGAGAGACACACACCGAGAGAGAGAGAGTAGCACTGAAGCCCGAAGCACGCAGCATACACACACAAAGAGAGAGAGAGAGAGAGAGAGAGAGGGGGGGGGGGCAGGTCGGTCTCGTAGGGTAAGTCTCGTACGGCAGACCGTGCAGGTACGCCGCCTACCATCTTCCCCCGAACATAACGCACCCTAAAAATGAATGTATACAAGCTATATTTCCAGGCAGATACAGACAAAATGAGGGTGCGTTGTGTTCGGGGGAAGAGGGTAGGGCAGGTAAATCCGGTAGCGCAGGTCGGTAACCGAAGCTACCTAGGCCGCGTGGGGTAGAGGCTGGATAGGGGAAGTCCGTCCGGTAGTGCAGGCAGGTCGCGGAGGCAGGGGCATCCGGTAGTCCAGGTGCATGCCTAGGTCTCCTTTTTTTTCTTTTTTTCTTTTTTGGACCATTTCTCTCGATTTATGCGTGTCATCTTGAGTGCGCAGGGCCATTTGCTAATCTTCTCTTTCTCTGGGGCCATTTGCTAATCTTCTCTTTCTCTGTATCGTTCCGAAGGACGTGGCCCCCCCCCAACGGCCGAGTTGGGATCCAGATGGCGGAAGAAAGGGGTCGGACCGGAACCCTTCCGCCGGCCGGCGCTAATGCACTCGGACCAAGCGGTTCTTTTCCGGGCCAAGGTCCCACTTGCACGGATTACGAGATTCTGGCCGTTGATCTCGGCTATCTACGGTCTCTATCTCTTAATTCGTGCAAGTGGGACCTACCGTCTTCCCCCGAACATAACGCACCCTAAAAATGAATGTATACAAGCTATATTTCCAGCCAGGCTATATTTCCAGCCAGATACAGCCAAAATAAGGGTGCATTGTGTTCGGGGGAAGACGGTAGCCCCCGGTAACAGAAGAGTGTCTACACCGCGGGGCATACCAATGCAATATGCCCACGGCAGTTTCGAGGCGCCGCCACCCATAGCTTCGGATATTAGGTCATATAGCTAGATTGTTTCGGCTATGAAGGCTGCTCGAGTAGACACTTGGGAGGTTCCTCCATAACTTAGAGGAACTGGTCGAGGTATGGTCAGGATAATAGTGCTGCTATAGCCAGTCTAAATTCTTCGTCGATAGGGTCGGCCGTTAGAAAACTGGTTCTTCTCTATTCTTATCTCTTACTCGCTGAAGAGTCGTGAAGACAATTGAAGATGGCAAAAGCTACAATGGTTGACCTCCGTGAACAGGAGAATGGCAGAGTTCAAGTTGAGGCGAAAGAGACAAGAGGTGCAATATCCCCCCCACCTGTACCGAGGTTGGATGGAGAAGATGACGATCGCCTCAAAGAGTTGGTGCGACTCTATTACGATGAAGGTATTACGCCATTTGACATCAATCCTGGCTACGATGAAGGTATTATGCCATCTGATATCAATCCAGGCTACAATGAAGGTATTATGCCATCTGACATCAATCCAGATGAGATGACAATAGAGGGACGAGAGGTCCGTTTCAAGGTGAATGTGTCTCTAGATCAAGCCAAAATTGAGTGGCTAAAGGTAACATACAGTGACGTTCATCTTCAGAGCAGGCGCAAGGTTCCTACCTAGGAATGTCAAAAACAGCATAGTGCGAACCTACGAAGACAAGAAGACAGTCGAAGGAAGTTTTGACCCCCAATCTTTCAGAAGAGGGAGAGTCAAGATGGAATCGCCCAATGTGGTGTCGTATGTGGCGAACTTGCATGAAATCGCGACCTGGCTTGTAAACAAGGGTTCTGACGAACTGACCATGGGAACAAACCATTACGTCTTTGAGTTCAAGCCATGGTTGACTAAGGCTCAATTGCGAAGACAACGCCAAGTGGAGGATGAAGTAAATTTCTGGGTAATAGCGGTTCAAATCTCGTTGGACGCCTTCCTACACCTCGAGTCGCAGGTGAGAAGAGTCATCGGACCCATTATTCGTTCATATCCTGCCGAGCAAGATCGCATGAAGCTGACACTCGTCAACATCACGTTCGATGTCGACCCTGCCATGAGAGACAACATGAAGGATAAAATCTGGATGCACACATCAAAGGGAGACTCCTTGGAAGTCAAACTCGCATCTGCGGCTACCCCATGCTGCAGATGGTGCCGAGCATTCTTGCACTCCAAAGGAGTAATCGTGAAACAATTTCTTATGCAGCGGCGCAGCCTTCGAACCCCCAAGATGCAGCAGGAGGCCAAACGTCCCCATCAGTTCGTCACTACCAAGGACCACTAGGACCAAGAACGGTCTCTTCGCCAAGCTTTAGACAAAGGTGCTACTTCCATTTTGGGTCCCTATGGAATTTCCACCATATTTCAAAAATTAGCAAAGCAAATAAGTACACTTCAAAGTGGCTTTGTGTACCATTTTGTTTTTGTTATGTTAATCGGGTTAACCATATTTATTACCATCATAGGTCTTTGGGACTTCATTTCATTTGGGGTAGATAATCTCAACGCAAGTTCTGCCTAAGAAATCTCGTCAGTCGCCATGAGTCAGCCTTATTTTCCTCCATCTTGCACGACGATTCAACTCAATCCAATTTACTCTCCAGGCCTTCACGCTTTCCCCAGCTATATACAGTTAGCGAGCGCAGGGTGTAACAGAGGCTTTAATTGGAATGTTTCAGCCCCTCCGTCAAGGAGTGTGTTGCAATTCCCGTATGGTATTCCACAACCATATGGATTATCACAACCCTCGACTTTCGTGCCATTTTATAAACTTAATATCATTGGAGGACCAAGCACATCATTTTGTAACGCCTCCCCCACTGCAGTGAGATATGCAATGATCGACACTCACATCTAGGGTAGCACCCCTTATATGGAGGAAGGCACAGGAGCACGAACTGAAACATCAGGAGTCGAGCGCTTTCGGATATCGAGTACCATTCTGACTTCCTCTTAGACATGGAGTAGCTTTGCGGGAAAGCAAAGAAGACTGGATCAGGAAGGAAGTTTTGTGTCGGAAGGTGCTAGACTCGAAGGTGAAGTGTCTATTTCCTCACACGAGTCATAGATGGCAACGATTCAACAATCGGTACTCCAAGCACGAAAATAATGAGAAGACGGATTCCGGTATCCTTGTCAAAGGGCCAACTCCAAGACATAGAGAACCGGATCCTGCCATTCTTCTGCGTTGAGGTATCGCTTTCGCTGACCCCGATGGGGCGCCAGCGTTGGTAAGCCTTCCTTCACCCGATACGCCGATGCCCTCTGCCACGGTCGTCCAAATCCGAAGCGTTATTCACGACAAATTTGTCTGTCGCTTAGTAGTTGACATGATGCTAGTTCGTCTTATTATGGAGAACCTATAACAGAAAGGATATATTTATATATATATATATATATATATATATATATATATATATA